TGATGGTGATGGCGGTGATGATGATGATGTTGATGATGGTTATGGTGGTGATGATGGTGATGGTGGTGATGATGGTGATGATGGTGATGGTGATGATGATGGTGGTGGTGGTGATGATGATGGTGGTGGTGGTGATGATGGTGATGACGGTTGGTGATGATGGTGGTGGTGGTGGTGATGGGTACTATCTCATCCCATTCTCCTGCTCCCTTTCCCCTATTCAGCTTCCTGCACAGAATGCAGTCAGTGTGGTGCTAACCCCGCTATTCCTCTGCTGTCTGACTTACCCTGGCTCCCTGTGCCATCACAACCCCTGATCATCCCCGTGTTAATGGCTGATCTGTGTGTTCCCCAACACTCAGGCACAGCCTTTCTTCTAACCCATCTCCAGACTTGGCTGTCCCACACAGCTTTCCTGCATCTGTCTTGGGAGAATCCAGTCTTCCTGGGTGTCTTTTGCCCTTAGATGCATGGACACATTTTGAATTGTGATTCAGTATCCTTTTCTGGAAGAAAAGCCATGTTTTCTCATTTAAATCGTAAATACCGTGAGAACAGCAGGGGTGCTGTCTTCGGTCCCACCTCTCTTCCCCTCAGCATCCCTTCCGGGAGGTTCATCTCCAGGCAGGCAGCTCTGTCCAGGTTGTTGACTAACTGACTGCTAGCAAAGGGATGCCAGCGTCACGTGCCCTTCAAACAGCCCACCTCATCAGTATCTCCTAGGAAGGTGTCGTCTCCTGGGAAGAGTCATCTAGATGATTCTGCTTCAGTTTGCAATGCAGGGAAGTGTGTTTCCTCAGTTGCTTCCCACCCCCTGCCCACCAGGGGTGTGAATTTTCTATTCACACAAAGTAGAAACCGTTGATAAAAAGTAGGTTATGTGGGGCTTCCCTGGTGGCGTAGTGGTCGGGAGTCCGCCTGCCGATGCAGGGAGCGCGGGTTCGTGCCCCGGTCCGTGAAGATCCCACATGCCGCGGAGCGGCTGGGCCCATGAGCCATGGCTGCTGGGCCTGCGCGTCCGGAGCCTGTGCTCCGCAACGGGAGAGGCCACAACAGTGAGAGGCCGCGTACCGCAAAAAAAAAAAAAAAAAAAAAAAGTAGGTTATGTGCACTGGAATGAAGGGATCACGGATAACTTTCAGTGAGTGGATCACACCAGGAGAGGAAAAAAGGGGTGTCCATGGATCCCCCTGCAAAAAAACATAGTAACTTACTGTTTAAACTGTGGACCATCATGAGACTTCGATCAAAATTCTAGTTTTCCCTCGTCAAGCCGCCTTGCTTTATCTTGTTCATGTTTCCGAGGATATATGTGAATATAAATCTCACTTATGAGCCTTGAAAGCCACTGCTGTCACAGCAAGCGTGAATCTGAAGACCTGGACGGCATGGCCAGGGAAAAGGTCTGCAGCGATGCTTGCGGCCCCGAGTGCCTGCCGTGCCGACCGACCAAAGCCAGGCCGGCCACCCGCCCGTCTCTTTGTTCACTCATTCACTCAACAGACAAGCCTGGCACTGGGCCCCAACCCCAGGACACTGGGCCTCGCCCGCAGGGAGGCCTTGGGTGGAGGCAGACAAGTAACAGTCACAGGCTGGAGCACAGGGGCCATGGTGGTGAGCCTGCTGCAGGCCTGGAGGGGCTCAGCTGGCAGGGACCCCGGGACCACCTAACGGCCTCTCCCCTAGCTTGTCTTCCTTGTCAGGTCCTGGAAGATAACAGAATGCCGATAGATGACGATCAGTATGCTCTGCTAACTGCAAAATTAGGATATAAGAAAGAAGGGATGAGTTATCTTGATTTTGCAACAGGATTTGAAGGTAGCTGATGGCCAAGTGCAAACCTGTCTCCCACCCGTGGCCCTGCCGGTCTTTCGGAGTAGTGCCACTAGGCTGCTGGGGTTGAAGTAGTGTGAGCTAAGATGTTGAAACGGTGTGTGAGTCCTAAGACTGAAACAGACATTTTAAAAAAACTTTTTCTTTGTGTTTTGGCCTTTTTTTTTTTCACTCAGCCGCACCGTGAGTACAGAATTTTGTCGGACAGAGCCTTCTGCAAATAGTAGGAGCCCAAGTGGTTTCTACAATTTACTCCCAAGCCTGTGCTTCTCCAGTCACACCTCGTGTCCTTTAAGGTTCTCCTCCTAAGCATAGATGCTGGTCATCTGTGATTAGTGACACCCACGCACCAGCAAGGCAAATGTTCCTCCTCCCTTTTTGCAGATAAGGGAGCAGAGGTGCTAAAAGATCCAGTGACTCGCCCAGGATCACCCGGCCACCGTCCCTCCCCTCCTGCCCCAGCCCCGTCCCGGACCCACATGGTTGTCAGGAGATTTGCTGGGCACCGTGGAGTCCGGGCTGGAGGCGGGCCTCCCGTTCACCACCTGCTCTGTAATCTGCTCTCCCGGCCGCACGCCAGGCAGGCGGATGACCAGCACCCAGCCTCCCGCTTCCTGGCTCTGTCGTCTCTCCCCTCCCTTGTCTCCACTCTTACTGAAGTTTAGGTAGACAAATAAGCCCTCTGGAAAAGCTGCAGAAATCACACATATATATGCATGACTCCATGGATATATCAATGCACTGCAGGCTGGATGGGGCGGAACCCGGAGCCCTATTTGCATTTTGCCGTCTTCCCCGGGGTTGGCCTGGGAGATGACTGGACGGTGTGGCGGGCCTCGCTAGAGAAGCTGGCCGCTGGGACTCCTCACCCATCCAACACCACCGCCCCCCCGCCCCCCGCCACCGATTTCATTTGACGATCCTAAGGGAGAGAGGTCCCACACCCTCCAAAAAGACAACACGGAAGCCATGGAATTTTAGAATTTTGACACTTTCTTTGGCTACGTGTTTTAACTGTCTTGGAGGAACCCCCGTCTAGTTTAGCGAGTGCTTCCGATGCCCGGGCGCATCCGAGGCTGAGGTGAGGACGTCGGAGCCCAGGGTGAGTGGTCAGGGCGGCGAGCCTGTCACAGAGCGAGCACTGCACTCAGCAGCTTCCTCCCTACCCTCCTTCCCCCTCTCTGCCCTCCATCAGTCCCCCCAACATATGGCCAGATGCTGAGGGTGGGGGAAGATGGCGGCTCCAGGCCGTTGGGGGGTTGGGGGTGGACACGGCAGAGGGGATCAAGCAGCGGGGTGGGGTGGGGGGGGCGTGTTATCTGCCAGGCATAGCGAAGCCCAGGGAGGCCACTCCAGGCCCAGGTGGGGGTGAGGCAGAGGCCAGGTTCTGGGCTGGACTCAAGGATGCTCATAAGCTCCAGACGCCCTGCCCGCTGCCCATCCTGCAGACCACGTGGGGGGCAGGGGGGCTGTGGGTGCGACACGTGCAGAGATTCACGTCCAAAACCAAGTCCCAGGTTGTAGCCTGGCTTTAGACAAGGCCACACTCAAAGTGTCACAGCCTGATGGAAATGGGTTGGTTTTGAGGTGGAGGTTACACCTCCTTCCTCCGTTTTAAGAGAGAGGGAGGGCCTAATGCAGTAATCAGCCAGCTGGGTTCTGGAACCCGAGGGCCTGGGTTAGCTGTGAAGTCTGTGAGCCCCGTGACCTTGGGGAGGGGAGCCTCCATGTCCTTATCTGGAGAATGGGCATAAGAATAGGTTTCCTTGTGTGTAAACTGGGCTCAAGAAGAGACTGGACCTCTTAGGGTTGTTGAAAAGACCAGGACTTGTCCAGAGACCTCTAGCACAGAGGAGGTCAGGACCTGCCTCATGACTGAATTACACTATCCTGTGTTTAGGACCTGATTCTAGGAAACAGAACAGGCAGGAATCCTCATTCTCTGCCTCTGGGAATGGAGAGATGGGCAAGATGTGGTCCCTGCCCTGGAGGACGGACAGAGGAGCCAGACAGGAAACGTGCTGGGCAGGAGCATGGCCCTGGTGGTCTGGAGAACAGGTTCTTCTCGTGGTGACGGGGACATGTCTAAGATCATAAGAGAGTTCATGCTAGGTTCAGTCCGTGGGGTTGTAGTACTGTATAGTGTTCTAACAGGCCTGGGGACCGAAGAAGTCAAGTGTTGACATAGAAATAAAGAGCCGTGCTCGCCACTAAGGGAAGTCCCCTGATTGATGTCGTTGTTTCAGATCCTAAGATGAACGGGCCAGAAGTGAGTTCATCTCAGACTCCAGTTCTTTCCAAAGGGAACTTGGACGGCTACTTTATAACTGCTGAAGAGTGCCTGAGACAGTTCCCCCGGAGACTGAAGGAATCCTTCCGGGTAAATCATGACCTCTCTGCCGCTTGGCTTCTCCAGACACCCCTCTTACCCTCTCCTCGCTCGCAGCCATTCAGCTGCAGTAGCGGGTGTGAGCCCTGCGGCCCCAGCACGTCCTGCTCGTCGGGACACAGAGCGCTCCGTCCGCAGACTCGGGCTTGCCTTTTCTCCCCTTCCCGGGACAGGGCTTAACTCTGCGATGCCCTCCCCTCCCCGAGGCCCTTCCCTGCTGACACTTTGCTGGGTCTGCCTTCTGCCCCTCAAAGGCCTTGGAGAAGTAAGGAGACCCTCCTCACAAGACAGGGAGGGGTGGGAAGGGGCATAACAACCCAAATTACAGTGAATTCAGGATGCTTTCAGGCATTCCATCCACTCTACTCCTGCACTCACCAAACAAGCATTGTGCACTTACATGTCATAAGCTGGACTCTCGGCTAAAAGCTAGGGCTGAAATATGGGAGCCCTGTCCAGGGAGCTCAGTCCAGCCCAAGACACAGATGGTCAACAGACAATTCGACACATCATGATTGGCTGCCGTAGAGGGACCGGTACTGTGCTATGGGAGCACAGGGGAAGAAACCCATTAAGGAGGGCTTCCTGGAGGAGGTGACCCCTGAACCAAATCTTAAACCCTCAGCATGTGCTGGCCAGAAAAAGAAGGGAGTGAAAAACAGAAGAGTGGGCTTGCTTAAGGCGGGTGGCAGACAGGTCATGTGCTTTAGGGAAAAGCTCCCAGGTCTGTGTGACCGAGGCGTGGTTTGCATGCAGAAGCTGTAATGGATAAGACAGGAGAAAGAGCAGCCATTCAAACACAGAGGCAGGAATGACCTCAAATGTTTTTGTGTTGAGAAGTAAAAGAGGGTCATTAAAGTGGGAAGGAAAATTGATAAATCGACCACATTAGCTACGAAACGGGGCAGAGGGCACGAGGGAGTTAGAATGTGTCCTCGCCAGGGTGTGGAGACCCCAGGGTGTGCAGGGGCAAACACCTCAGTAGCTGAAAATCCAGTGAGCCCAGGGGAGGAGAGGTGGGGAGCACCCTGTGGGTGGAGCCAGCCCCCAGGGGCAGGGCATCCAGAGTTTGCTGTGCTTGAAACATCTTCCCTGCGTGGACTGCCAATTGGAGATTCATTTTGGTTATTACTGAGCTCCCATTTTAAAATATATACTTACGATGACTGTCTAGCTCGGATTTGCGGCATGGTTCTGACTTTGACTATTCGGTCCAGCCATCAGACTGTACGTCCTAATTCTTGGTTTGAAAACGTATGGTCACCGTAAGCAGATAGGGGGAGGGTTAGTCCTCATTATTTCATCCACTGTGATGCCCAGCAGAGAAGGGCACGGAGCAGGCGGGGGTCATTTACGGGGTGGAGAGCCTGGCGGGAGGGAGAGAGGGCAGAAGGGGAAGCAGAGGCACGGGGGCAGCAGCCCCTCCGTGCTGGCTAGCAGGGCCGGGTGGCCATCGCCCGCTGCTGCCTTTGTCCTGCGGCCTCACCCATGGCAGCCCAGGCCCCTTGCTCTGGCCCCTCCCCGCCTGTCTCCTCCCAACTCTCCATTCCCCTGGGGACACGGGGAGGCCAAGCTCCCTGCTGGCGCCACCGCCTTCCTACGTTAATTATCAGTGTAGCTTGGTTACGGCGCTCAGATGTCCCGTATTTCCTAAGATGGTCTTTATTTTAAATAGTTAACTAAAAACGTTCACCAACACCCACCCATCCTGCAAAGAACTTATAACCTAGTAGATAAGACAAAGACGTGAACCCCTAATTGCCAGGGTTTGCGTGATACAGACTCGGGTGCTGGTTATATCCAGGTTCCTGGGGGGCTGCTCGTTGCCCTCACGCGTATATGTAAACAGGATAAGGAGTGTGTCTATTTTTTTTTAATAAATTTATTCATTTTATTTATTTATTATTTTTGGCTGCGTTGGGTCTTCGTTGCTGCGCGCGGGCTTTCTCTAGTTGCAGAGAGTGGGGGCTACTCTTCATTGCGGCGCACGGGCTTCTCATTGCGGTGGCTTCTCTTGTTGCAAAGCACGGGCTCTAGGCGCGCGGGCTTCAGTAGTTGTGGCACACGGGCTCTAGAGCGCAGGCTCAGTAGTTGAGGTGCACGGGCTTAATTGCTCTGCGGCATGTGGGATCTTCCCGGAGCAGAGATCAAGCCTGTGTCCCCTGCACTGGCAGGCAGATTCTTAACCACTGCGACACCAGGGAAGTCCCAAAGACTGTGTATTGATTGTTGAGTGGGAAGGTACCGTCACTTTATTTCTTTTATTGAGCTCCTATTCATGAGAAATTCTTGAATCTCTCTGTCCATCAATAATGAAGAAACGATTTTGTATTAGTTGAAAATGCTATTAATCATGCTGCTGCTGTTGTCTGCCCAGCGATTCTGTAGCCAGATGAGTCCATCTCAGCACAGTTAGGTTTACGGACAACAGCACAGTTGAGTAAGGCAGCCTCAACCTCATAGCCCAGGCCAAAGACCACGAACAGTCGAAGGAGATAATTCATTGTGACCAAACAAGGGGCGTCCCCCGTCCCTGACTGTGGCGAGGAAAGCAGGCACAGAGACCCCCTGGGTGACCTGGGGACATGACCTGGGGACAGGTTCCTGTGGCCCTTGTGGGTTCACCTTCAACCTCACCCTCTAGACAGCGTCCGTGCAGGTTCAGGCGCATGTCTGTGAAGTCATGTATATTTTAAAAAAACAAGCAGGATCGAAGTCCCCACACAAATAGGGTCTCCTATACCTATGCTTCTGCCGCTGCATTTTTCACTTCACAATCTGTCCTGGACACCTGACCTTGCAGGGTTATCCCAACACGCAGCTCTGGTCAGAGTGTCCCCTTTCTCTTAGGATGAGCTCGGGTCCTGCCTGGCTGGTCTGCAGCCCCTCTCTGGCCCCTCTCGACCCCCCTTCTCCTCCCGTCACACTCCGGCCAGCACCCAGCCTCCCCTTCCTGGCCTTGCACATCCTACTCCTTTGCCTGGATTGTCACTCCTCTCTCTGTGACCAGCTAACTCCTACCAAAGCGCTGGTCCTTCTTAAGTTCTTGGTCCTCCCTCTGGCCCTTCAGACCTGCTGGGAGGTCTGCTGCTGTCCACTAACCTTCCGGCATGCAATGTGGGGGACTTGTAATTCCATGAGACGTCAAGGCACGATAACACAACTGGCTACCACGGTGCGTGCCATGCAAATAGGTGTTTGTTGAATGCATAAGAGAATTCACTTTACATGCCAGGCAGTGAACCTACACGGCCTCAGTTGTTTCAGTCCCCACAACTAGCCTATCAAGTAGGCGCTAGCGTTCCCATTTTATAGATGAAGAAACGGAGGGTCAGAGATGGGGAGAGACTTCCCCGAAGCCACATACCTAGTAAATGTCGTAGCCAGGAATTGAAATAATATCCTTTTCACTTCAACATGTATTGGCTCCAATAAAATTAGGAGTCTTCATGCTGGGAAGTCAAAGACTGAGATTCAGGGAATGAGTAAATGTTTTAAATTTGTGAAGATTATAAATATGGGTTTCCATGGCATCTAGATTGTCCCTGTAGTCCAGCAATTAGGGCTGCGTCAGAGCACTTCTCCCCCCCCCCCCCCCCCCCCCCCCCCCCCGCCTTTTGCTGCACTTATCACGCTGACGTGCTGTCATTTGCTTACACATCTTTCTTCCCTACTGGACGGAGAATCTTGATGTCAGGGGCCAGTTATCAGTACGTCCCTGTACCTAGCAGGGTGCTTGGTGAATCGTAGGTACCCAGGAAATAGCTGCTGCATCGTTCATACCCAGCCTCACTCCACAGATGTTTCTTAAGCACTGCTCTCTGGACTGGAGCTGTCACGAGGAATGGATCAGAGCCCACGTTTACCTTTAGAGGTGGAGCAGACAGCACGTGAGTCTCCAGAGTGTCAGGTGGTGAAACGGGCTAGGAAGAGAAATAAAGCAGGGTGAGAGGCCGGAGACCCATCAGGGTGGTGCCCTTGTACAGAGGGGACAGGAAATGCCTCCCTGGAGAGGTGGCATGCGGGCAGAGACCAAAGGCCCAGCAGGTCTGGTGGAGAATCCCCTGGAGTGCCGGAGGCAGGCTTGGCATGTTCCAACAGCAGCAAGTAGCTTCCGGCTCTCGGCTCGGAGGAGGCCAAGGTGCAACTTTCTTCAGTCGTCCCGAATCTGGGTTCATCTGACACCAGCCGCCTCCACCATGCTGCCCAAGTTTGACCCCAAGAAGATCAAAGTTGTGTACCTGACAGAGTCGTGCACCCCCCCAAAAAAAAACCCAGCAAGGGTGAGCGGGGAGGAGATGAGGGCAGAGGGGTAGGGGGCTGGGGCCACAGTCAGGATTGAGGATTGGACCCCGAGTGCCGTGGGTGGAGCAGAGGAGCGACGTGCACTGGGTTGAGCTGTGCAGGTATCACTGGCTGCTGTGAGAATAGGGGGCTGGGCGAGGGTGGGAGCCGGGAAGCCCAGGAGCCTTGGGTCCGGGTGGAGGCAGTGGAAGTGGGAGAAGTGAAGCTCTGAACCCATGGCTGTGTGGGCAGATTGGATGCGGGGTGTGAGGCAAAGGGAGGACCCGGGGACGCTCCCTAGGTTTGCGGTCTGAGCAACAGAAAGAAGACGCTGCCACTTCTTGAGCTGGAAGGACCCGGAGGACAAGCGGGAAGGACCCGGAGGACGAGCTGGAAAGACCCGGAGGACGAGCTGTGAAGGACCCAGAGGACGAGCGGGAAGGACCCGGAGGACGAGC